TTAGGAAAAGCTATTTCACTAGGAGGGTGGGGAAGCACTGGAATGGGTTCCCTAGGGAAGTAGTGGAGTCTCCATCCCTAGAGGTGTTTACGTCACGGCTTGACTGGCTGGGTTGACTGAGTTGGGATTGGTCCTGCCTAGAGCAGGGGGCTGGACTTGATGACCCCTGAGGTCTCTTCCAGCTCTAGGGTTCTATGAATCTCACCAGCACCTCTTGTAAGCCACTGACCAACAGAGCTGTGGCAGTGGGGAGGAGCTGAGGGGGGAGGGGCTGCTGATGGGTGAGCATCCTCAGAATCGATGCCTATGGGGAGAAGAGACCCGACCAGCACTTGGCAGGAGCCCTAGTCTGGGACCTGAGGCTGAGATGGACGACGTCTCTGCTAACGTCACACACATCACGTGGGCCAGGCCGCGACTGCCCCATTGGTCTGCTCCGCCTTGGCGTCCTCCCTAAAGAGCCACATTGATTACAAATAGCACCCCCCTCCCCGCAAGGATTCCGTCTTCCTAGTCGTGAGTTGCCCCTATGAATATTGTATGAGCTGTGCTCACCGAAAGGGCTCGAGGCAGGAACTTGAAAGCTAGAGAACTTGATCAACGAACATAATAGGCCTGTGACCGTACTTCAAACGCGGCTCAGCCCCAGGGTAGCTGCGCATAAATTTGTGCGAAGCAATCCCAGTTCCTGTTTGCTGCGCGCTCCGATCTTTATATTTAGCTCCTCGCCGCCGTAACGTGTGAGGGTTTAAAAATACGATCGGCGTTGGCATTCTGGCGAGAGGAGTGACTGGAATAGAGATGCAGTTATGAAATGCGAGGCCTAGTTTTATAGTCTCGAGGCACCGCGAGGCGCTCCGTAGTTCAGGAAGAACTTACATGTCATTCTTTGAGGAGTGAGTTCTAAACTGCCGAACCTGTCACGGCCGGAGTGATTCTCCCTGTGGCAATTGCTGCTCCTGGACGTGACTGGCTTACCCCTGCAGCCCCTGAGAGGCAGAGCAGGGGGTCTCCACATGCTGTCCTTGCCTGCAGACCCCACTCCTGCAGCTCCCGTTGATCAATAACGGGGAACCGCGGCCAGTAGAAGCTGGGGGCTCAGTGCCTGTAGATGAGGGGCAGCACATGGTGCCATGGAGTCATTGCTGTACATGCCAGCTGCTTTCAGGAGTGGTGCAGGGCCAGGGCAGGAGGAAACCTGCCTTACCCCCACTGCTCAACTTGGAAACCATCTCAGTTAAACAGCCCAGCCAGAGCCTGCCTCCTGGACCCGTCCCAGCCCTGAACCTCCTCCTGCCCCAGACAGGAGTCCCCCTGCTCCCAACTCCTTCCCAGAGCTTGCACCCTGAAACCCCTCCTGCACCCCAATCCCCCACCCGGAGCTAAGCCCGGAACCCCTCCCACACTCCAAACCTTGGCCCAAGACCAGAGTCTGCACCCAACCCTCTACCTCAGCCTGGTGAAAGTGAGTGAGGATGGGAGAGGAAGAGGAATGGAGTGAGGCCTCAGAGAAGGGATGGAGGGGGGCAGGGCCTCAAAGAAGGGGCAGGAAGGAAGTGGGGCAAGGGTACTTGGGTTTGAGGTAGATCTTACATTACACTTAAATAGAAAAAGTGATCATGTGGTTAAAAAGATTGGAGACCCCTGCCCTAACCCCTCACCCATCCCCCATTGCTTCTGTCCCCCTCCCCTCCCCGTCTCCCCTGGGCTACCCACCCAGCTCTCCACCCCCTGCCGCGGAGCGCCCCTCCCCCTCCATTTTTGCTGCGTTCCTCTACTTCTCATGGCTCACGTGCCCGGCGACGCGTGTTCAGCATTTCTGCCCGTGTGCTGTGTGGTGTGACGACACGCCAGCTGCCGTGCAGCGTCTCAGTCGTGGCTGTGAGGCCTGGCTGGGTCTTGGACTGCCCATCGAAAATGTGTCCCCACGACAGGGTCATAGCGCCCCTCCCCCTCCATTTTTGCTGCGTTCCTCTACTTCTCATGGCTCACGTGCCCGGCGACGCGTGTTCAGCATTTCTGCCCGTGTGCTGTGTGGTGTGACGACACGCCAGCTGCCGTGCAGCGTCTCAGTCGTGGCTGTGAGGCCTGGCTGGGTCTTGGACTGCCCATCGAAAATGTGTCCCCACGACAGGGTCATTCCGGGGTTCCCAGGGGAGCGGGTTCCACCTGGTTCCAGAGCCGGGCGGTACGTGAGCTAAGGAATCTGAATGAAATGCACGTCAAAGGGGAGGTTCATGGTGCGTGGGTTTTTGGGGTGCTACGCTTAGCCTCTCCTCCTTGCTAGCACAGGCTAGAGGTTCCCCTCCCCGCCCCCTAGGGATGCTTGCCTCCTGTCCAAGCACGAAGGGCTGAGCGGAGGCAGGCTGTTAGGGAGCCGCGCCATCGAGGGGGCTCAGACACAGCGCCGATGTTAGCAGCGCCCGTTCCACGGAAGCCCTCCCCACCCTGCTCTCTGCTTGGCTTCCAGCTCCCCAAGCCGCAGACAGGAGTCAAGGGGCGGCCGTGTGTGCTGAGGGGGTGGAGACCTGGGGTGAACCCCGGGATGGCACAGGAAGGGGGAAAGGACCAGCTCACACAATGGAACTGCTGGGGAGGGAAGGGTTGAGGTTTTTTTGTTTTCCAAAGCCAGGAAGGGCCACAGCAAAGAGCTATGTGGAAACCATTGCAGGTTGCCGCGTCCGCCCCCTCGCACTGCTTCCGGGGAGAGAGGCGCCCGAGGCCTGATGCGAGAGGGAGGGAAGAGAAGGGGACCCTGAGCAGCAGGGTTTGGCCCAGGGCAGCGAGGGGCCACATCGCCGGCTGCCACCCGGCCCACAGTGGAGCGGGCACACAGCAGGGCCCTGCAGGAGCAATGTTCCCTCTCCTCTTCTCTGCCCACATGCAGAATAATTTTATGTGCACCCAGGCATGTGCGAATGGCCTGATGCGAGAGGGAGGGAAGAGAAGGGGACCCTGAGCAGCAGGGTTTGGCCCAGGGCAGCGAGGGGCCACATCGCCGGCTGCCACCCGGCCCACAGTGGAGCGGGCACACAGCAGGGCCCTGCAGGAGCAATGTTCCCTCTCCTCTTCTCTGCCCACATGCAGAATAATTTTATGTGCACCCAGGCATGTGCGAATGGGCACCACCAGTAAAACCAAAGAACCTAGGGGTGGGCAGGGAACGCTGCTCAGGAGGCGAGGGACCAGCCCTGCTCCCAGAGCAGCAGCC